CTCTCTTCCCCTCTCTGTCTCTGGCAAGTGCACATGGTCTATAACAAAACAAAACAAAACAAAACAAAACAAAACAAAACAAAACGCAGCTAGTGGAAAATGGAATTAAAGTATAAGTATTTTTGTGGAAAAATTGGAATTCATACATAGTTTCTCATATTAATAGTATGCATTTTCCATGAACTTTTTGAAGACCCTGCATATGCTCCTCATTGTTGTACTGCTCCCTTCATGCATTATGTAACCTCTGGCCTCTGTAGGCACCGGGGTTTAGACTGAGCCCCTGAGGACAAGGATCTAGTGTCCTCATCTTTTCATTGGCAACCATTCCAGTTCCTGACGCATAGCAGATGCGAGGGTGTGTTGAGTGACTGAATGAGTGAGTAAGGGTTGTGTGGGGCAAAGGCCTGGCCTGCTCTCAAATCCCTGCTCTGCCCTAGTTAGTTCCCCAGCCTCCGTGCACCTCAGTCGCCTTCCTGTAAAAGAGGCATTGTTATGGTATCTCCCACAGGTCAAGGGAAAGGACTGAGGGTGCGACTGCGTGGAAATCGCTTGGCGAAGTTCACACGTGGAGGGAGGTGTTGGTTTTACGCATCTTGGTGTCATCTTTGATGTCTAGTCCTTCCTTCTTTTGGTTGTAAACACTGAGATATTTCTTTTTTTTCTTTTTTTAGAGAGATTTTTGGTATAGGGCATGTGTGCTTGCTGGAGAGACAGAGAGAGACAGGGAGACAGAAGGTGAGAAATCACCACCCAGGAGGGAGGGATGGCCACGCCACAATCCCTTCTCCATTCTCCTCTCAGGATCTTGGGTACACATGCACATGTGCCCAGCATGTTTCAAGCCTCTGGGTCCGGGACTCAAACCGTGATTGGCCATGTAGGAGTCCAGTGACATAACCATTATGCCATTTGCTGGTCCCTCCTGAGATGTTTCCTAATTCCATACCTTCCTCCCCTTCCTTCACTCTCCCTGCTTTGTCTCTGTTCCTCGGCATCCGGAGTTTCCCTGTGGTGACTATGGTGGCTGAGACACTTTCAGTCGTGGTTACTAGGTAACTCCACTCAGCTCGCTGAACGATGAGGGAATATACAGCCAGGGTGGAGGGAAAAGCTGGGAGGTAGGCAGGTACCAGCCGTCTCTTCTCTGTGATCTTCCTGGCTCTGCATCCTCCGGAGTAGACTTCCGCCTTAGCCTCGCTCCCCTAATGGTCAGGAGGTGACCGTAAAGGCTCATCTTGGGTGGTTTGCCTGCACCCACACTGATCAGGGACCTTGCTGATGGGCTGCGAGCCCTGGAGTTGGACCTGGGCTCCCACCCACCCAATTGCAGGGCTGGTAGCCGGTGGGAAACCCGACTTTGTTTCAGAGCCAGGCAGGCTGCCCGTTCCTCCAAGCTGTGACCCTGCCCAGGTTAGCAGAGACCCTGGGCTGGGCACCCTAGAGTGAGTGATGCACCTCACATGTTGTTGGTGCCAAATACGGGATGAGGAAGGTGGCCTTTCATGAGAGCCACTGCTCAGTAAAGCCAGGTCAGAGCAGTATCCTGAGGCTAGGGAACAATGCTCTTTCCATCAGGGCCGGGGACTGTTCTTCTACACGAATGTGTGCGTGTGTGTGTGTGCATGTGTGCGTATGTGTGTGCATGCGTGTGCATGTGTGCACATGTGCTCCGCGGACTGACAGCATTGCTGTCCCTGAGGCTCCTGCCTTAGGCCTGTGACCCTGGAATGACAGAGTGCCTCCAGCACAGCCACACCTCCCTGTATTCCGTGCCCCTCCACAGAGTGAATGAAGGGCAGGCAAGGGTTGCTGAGCCTGGAGAGGTGTGTTTACGTGGGGACCGTTCCCCATCCCTTGCTACTCTTAGCCTCTGGAGCAGGAACTGTAAGAAAATGGAGAGAACTCGGGAATAGGAAGGCCTCTGTTTCTCTGCAAGTATGCTGCGGCTGTGTGCGTGTGTGTGTGCGTGTGTGTGTAAAAGTGTGTGTGTGGTTTCCAGACACAGCTGACTTGTGGGTTTTGGCGGCAGACTACAGGATGTTGGATTGCATCCTGATTGTGTCACCCTTGGAAGACGAGGACGAATAAACACATAGCCTTCTCTGCAATCACAGCACGCCTTAAATTCGGGAGATTTTCAGTCTCGCCGGAAAAGAAGAAAGCTCTAGATGACTGTGCTGTCCTCCATTTGATCCTCGAGCTGCCAGGAGCAGGTGGGACAGACTCACAGTGAAGCCTGTCGGGTGGGCAGGTGCCCCTAGCGCTGTGGCAGTCGAGGCCGGGTCACGTAACTTACAAGTTTGGCCGTACTGGCCAGCATGTTGGCCTTGGTGGTGGGCGGTGGGGAGAACAGAAACCCTGCCCTCCCCAACTTGCACCCAGCTTCAGGAAGCTTATGGGATAGGTGGAGAACCAGGCCGAGAGAGGGGCCTGGAGTTTAAGTACTGAGGGGCCAGGTACAGGCAGGTGCTGGGCTGGAACCAAGGTGTGGGGAAGGCCCGGAATGCCGCGCTAAGGGTGTTGGCTGACCCAGCACTGCCTCTGCTCGCTTACTGTTTTTGGCATTGGAACCTGGGGGAGGAAGCTGCCTTTGGGACTCTGTCAGGTTATGTTTGCAGCCCTAAGAGGGCCTGGACTTGAGTGGGGAGATTGGGATGTGGCATCAGGGGACAGGGAGAAGGGTCAGCTCTAAGAATAGAGGTCCCAGTGAGTAATCCTGGCTTGTTCAAGAAGACAGTGCAGCTGCCCAGTGGGACCACGAAGGGTCTAGACTAGCAGCTCACGCACTTAGGGGTTGTGGCTGTAGGGCTCCAGCGGGAGGCAGGATAGGTAGTGGAGAAGAGGGAGTTGTTAGAGTGCCTGCCAGAGGGCTCCGACTGTGAGCAAAGAACTGTTCGCAAGGAGGCAGATCCTCCTGTGGGGCCAGGGCCCTCCTGCCGGGTCCTGAGCCTCTCTGCCCCTGGGCACACGGGT